TAGGTTATCGTGCGAGTAGGAGTCGCACTTGCTCCCCTCCGTTCTCTCTAAAAGACGCCACTCTCTCTCTCTCTCTCTCTCTCTCTCTCTATACCACTCTGACCTGGCTGAGACTTCATCCGTGTTTCCAGAGCTCAAGTCGAAACTGAAGAACCACTACAGGGCGCACAGACTCTCGTTTTGGCTGAACCTCGTCCCCGACCTCCATAAGCCTGGCTCCGACGACGTTCCAAGATCGCATCATCTTCTCGACACTGAACAGGTATCCGTTTCTCTCCGCCGATAAGATCGGCCGATAATTCGTAGAGAATTATTTCCAACGCGGATATTTCCCTGCAGGTGCCACCGAGGTTCGTGCAGAGGGTGCCAACCACGACCAGGATGACAACGGCGGAAGTAACCCTAGCCGAGAGGGCTCACAACTTCTCGACAGCGACGCCCAGCGAGCTGACGTTCGAGGACTCGACGGTGCAGCCCGAGGACGGTTTCGCCGCTTACTCGACGGCCCTGAGCGTGACGATAGCGATCGGTTGCAGCCTCCTCATTCTCAACGTGCTGATATTCGCCGGTGTCTATTACCAACGCGACAAGAGCAACCAGCACAATTGTTCGAAGAAACGTCAGGAGAACGGTCAGATGCCCAACAATATTTGCGGCGACCTGGACACGAAGACGGCCGAGAGGCATCACATCCAACACATCCCCCCGCCCGAATTCGCGGATCTGCAGAACAATAGCTGTCACGTGCCCATGCCGCCCCCACCGCCGAAAAACACGAAACCCGGCAAGCCGGGGCAAAACCTCATCATAAGCCCTAACCAGTTGCAACAGGAGAGCATGGCGATGAGCGGGACGGGGACGTTGAAGAAGGGGCACAATCATCAACAGCAGGTGATGGACGAGTTGAGGGTTTGACTCCACGAGCACCTCGAGCGGCTCAACTTTTACCAACGATTCACGATCCACGTGAAGTTTGGGATTGGTTTCCAACGAGGTGCTCCTTGGATTTTCAGATGCACCGTTCGCTCGTGGATTATTCATGGAAGAGGTTGAAACAGATCGTTTTTGAAGAAAATGTTGTCGAACAGTTGTCGTTGTCAGTTACAGTTAACGGAGAAGGAAGAGCAAATACATCGAAAATACGTGGCTGCGATACATGGCAGCTGGGTTCGATGATTCTACGATTCTGCATTGCGACAATGCGCGAGGAAGAAGCGAATGGACGAGTATCTTCTCCAAGATTCTTTCTCCGAGAATCTTTTGGAACGTTCGATGGTGTTCGTTGGCGATTGATGCCGATCCGAATCCTTTCGATCGTGAAATCGTTCACAAATCTCGCGAGTGTATAATAGAGAGAGAGAGAGAGAGAGAGAGAGACAGGTGTGAAAGCGTCTGACCCGTTATCCTTTTCTACTTATTCCGCGAAACGAGAAGAGAAGAGAACCGTACGACCAACTGCCGAAAAATCGTATAGTCTTCGATATTGTAATAACGATATCTTAAGTAGAAATCTTTTGATCCTCGAGGAAACGTTCGAGAATCGTTTCCCGATGATCCTTCCAATCATCGAAACTTTCGAAAACTTTCGATTATTTCTCGAATCAGAATTCCTCTTTTTGTAATCTTCCTTACGATGATCCAAACAATTTGTTCCTTCTTTCTCAAAGATCAAGGAATTGAACTTCATCGAATTTATTCCGTTGAATCCGATTACGACCGACGCGATGAAATATGCATTCCGTTTCCAACATTTGCACTTCATCGATGGAAAGGATCCACGCACGAGTCCGGACACGTTGTTGTTTCATAGATCTATTCTTTCGACAGACGACACGGACGGAGAGGATTTCTCGTTCGCATTTCCATCATTCGTTCGTTTCCCGTTCGGCCCGTTGACTCGTGCGTTTGATTCATTCCTTGTAGAAGCGTTAGAACTTCGAGTTAAGATCCGTTTGCATCATCGACGGCACTTCCAGCTGTCCACCGGACTTCCATTCTTATTTTCTTAAATTAGTCGAAGTACCTTCTCAGGAGAGCAAAGAGGCAGAGCCTCGAATCGATCGTCTACGCTCTGTCACTGCCACGGGAAATGAATGCCTCGTGTGGCGAAATTCAAGGAGCTGGAAGTAGTGTCGATCGGCCTAGATGCTCAAAAAAAAAAAAGAGAGAGGAAGGAAAGGAAGATAAAGGGCCACGATGACACGATGCAACTGAGATCTCGAATTGAACACGGCGCCGTAAAGTTCTTTTTTTACCAATCGAAAATGGAAAAAATAAAGATTGAAGAAGTCTTTCGCGATCACCTCACTCGATTCGTCGTTAAAAAGTTACGCAAAAGCATACTGCCAAAAAAATTGAGACGCGAGTCAATACGAAATGCGAATGCTTCGATCGTTTCGAAAAAAGTGTGTACAGTCGCGGTTCGAACAGAAATAAAACGAGGAAATGTGTCGTTTTTAACTCCATTTTCCTTTTTTTTCTTTTTTTCTTTTCTTTTTTTTAGAACGCGACGTTCTAAGAAGCACGTGGACGTACTGTATGAGGACAGGATGGGAGTTTAGACTGTAAATAATAACGAATAATTAAACTTTAGTGATTCATCGAGTCGTTTGTGGCGAAAATTTTTTTTGCTGGTGTTTGAAACGACGAAAAAAAAAAAAAAACGACGAGAGAAATCCGATTGTAATTGCACTTGTGTCGAGTAAGGAGATGATGGTGTGTCAGCGTAGAAGCACTGTGGACGTAATTTTAAATTTGTATATAATTGACATTACAATAAACTGTGTAAACAATTACTATTAGCTACAGAATTTACGAATGTTTTCCTTCAACTCGATTATTTTTTTTTTTCCTGATAATAAATCGTTCCGATTATATTCTTCTTTCATGCGAATATGAACGAATATGAAAAATATAAATTGATCCGTGCACGTTCAAAAGAATTAACGAATAATCGCGTACAAACAATAATGAATCGGTATGAAAAAAAAAAAAGTGAATTCGCAAAAATGAATTGAAAACGAAAACGTTTCGAACCACGAACGAATATTTCATCAATTCCGTTTACAAAATTCGAGCGATAAAGGCAAAATACGCGACATATTTGAAATAACTAAAAGACAGAATAGAAGCTTTGGGGATATTTCAATGGCGAGGAGGGGAGGGGAAAAAAAAAACTCTGTCACGTATCCAAACAAATAAACGAAAAACCATTTGCACGCTAATTATCAATCTCGAATATCAATATGAATACCCGATCAATTACGCAAACACCGGTTTTCCCTCCATTTTTAACTATTTCCCTGTTGCTGACAAATAACCAGCACACGCACGGACGAAAGTATAATCCGAAAAAAACATTTCAATCTCGATACGTTTTATGAAATGAATCGAAAATGAATGGGCTCGTGAACACAAATCTTTATTAATTCGTTTCGTTTGAAGCTCCACTAGTTGAATTGTGCAAACCAACGTACAATTATGACACGTTTGCAAAAATCTCGTGAAACTCGTTCCGAACCGTGACGAGAGCGTGCCTTTATTAACGTACACAATATACAAAAGACTTTTCGCGATACGTTCTTGATTGTTCGTTTCTCGTTCGATACAAATCCCATAAATATATTGAAATGCATTGAATGAGAGAGAACGAATTAATAAGTCTGGAAAAAATGATAAATTTTCCTCTCTTTTTCCTCCTTTCAAATGATCACTGTATACAACTATCGATAAAATTTCTCGTTTAAATTTTCAGATAATCAAGTACTGTTGCTTTTATTAAATTCAATTCAAACAAAATTCATCTGAATCTGAATGTTATTCATCTCGATATTCTTGCTTTGTTTTAATCCAAATTAACAACTGTTCTTCATTCCTCCCTCCATCTTCCTGTATATCTTGAAACAATAAAACTTCGATCAAAATTCTATCGATTCGTCTCGATTAACGCGTTACACGTCTTTCTTTCGATGTCCTCCTCTGTAATCCAAATTTTCGCAATTTTCATCAAAATACCTCTCGATCTTATCGATCGAGTGGATGATTAAAACGTATCCCTTTTTTTTTCTTCTCAAGGTTTCTTACAACTTCGTTTCGAATCGGATATTTTTGCCAGACTTACCTAATTATTCGCTCTTCGCTCACCAACACGTTCACGTTGACGTAAAAAAGTTTCTCCGACGAAACGAAAACTTGGTTCTTGGACCGATTATATTCTCATTCTGATTGAAATTAAATTTAAGAGAGAAAGAGAGAGAGAGAGAGAAATGAGGAACAAATACGTGGAAAAACGAAAAGGACAAAGAGAGAGAAAGAGAGAGAGAGAGAGAAATTAAACAATCGATGCTCGCTCCTCACGTTTTTTACCCAACTTTCCGGTTAGTTGGCCCCGTTGAATCGAAACTTCAGTAACGGCGCGTTCGATTTTTTTATTGCTCAAAGTTCCGATTGCTGGAGAACTCTTTCTCGAAACTTCGAGAAGGGAGAATGAGCTTGGATTGGGGATGGATCCACACGCTTACGCTCCTGAGGTCGGCCGGATGCGGGCTAGCAAACATCGTATCGGCTAAGTACAAGTATCGTGGCAGTATTCGTTTACACTAGCGGTTCAATCGAGTTGTACGCCACCATTGTAATTGGATTAAACGGTGACTGTCCAGCCTCTCCGGGAGGATCTATCACGATCCATTGCGCGACGAATTACAGTCGAACCCGGTGTAGATACGGAACGTCCGTTTTCGAGGAGGACTCCTAATCGGAGTGGGAAGATAACACGGCTATAACGCCACGATGCAATCGTCCGATTGCTGTGATTACCTGTGATTAAATCTACACTTCGACCAGAATATCGTGTACGCGAATATCGAATCGTTCGAAATCCTGGTATGAACTTACAAACATTTAGAAAACGCGATGATAATAAAAGTTGGAAAGAATGGAAGATAATTATACGTTCAACGTTCGATAGAGACAAAATGAAGCGTGTGCACTTTCGGAAGGGACGATACACGAGATCTCTAATTATTATTATTATCATTATAATCGAGAAAAATAAAAATCGATAATGAATAGAAGGTATATTTTTG